AGTGTCTACCTCATTGGGTAGCAAAGGATCTCCCACACACCTTTCCTTATCTAAAGTCCACAACTAGAAACATTGCTGAGATAGAACAACAAATATTGGAAGAGGCGTAAATATGTGAAAGTCAACAAGTGACTCAGTTCTGAGAACAGTACGTGTAATGGAGAAAAAAAGACAAAAATGGGAAAAATTAAAATTTGAATTTCTGAAGGAAAGGAAAACACAGTAAAGTAGTTATTTATTGGCCAAATGTTTGACTAAAAACTTAAGCTTGAACACAGCAATAAATGTAAATAAGCATTTTAGTTATCTATCCCTTTATAAGGATAGCTCTAATATGAAAAACTGTGCTTACCATTTTAAAAATGAATGGAATTTCTTTCTTGAATGTCTTTTAATATTAGCGAGATGTAGGCATAAAGATGTAGATACAGGCAAAGAGATGGCTGCCATTACAGGTTCTGAACTCGAACAAGTGTTCAAGTCATCTTGGAAACTTTTAAAAAGCACCAGGGCCTCGCCTCCAAAACCCTCAGGTAATTGCTCTGGGTTGTGGCTGGGCTGGGCACCGATATAATGTGCTGCCCAGGTGGAGGAGCACTGGATTAGATGACCTCTGTCCTCTGAGAGCCCCTCACGTGCCCAGGTGCTCCCACTGGGGCCAAGGATGTTGGCATGACTTGGGGAAACCTCCTCTTATCACACACTGAAGCATCTACCGGCATGCACAGATTCTGTCAGCAGGCATATGTCCTCTTGCCCGGGCTAAGAGTGTACACTTCCTGTTCAGCAGTCACCTTAATTCTGACTCTGTGGAATCATGCCACTCCTGCTTGGTGTTAAAACTAAAGCCTCCCGGGGATTTTATCCAAGCCTAGCACAACACCTACTTCTTAAGCACTTTCACATATGATAACAGATTGCAGAAACAGAAAACTGGTCCTGATTTAAAAAGAATGTAACAAAACCAAAAAAAAAAAGAATGAAATTGAAAAGAAAGATTATAAAGAAAGGGTTTTACTTCTTAAATTATTTTGTGGCTGAGGTTTACAATGTCCACCATCACAGCTTGCACAATACTAAGAACATAGGTGAGTAATGCTCCAGGCACTAAAAGTATAGTTATGTATGTTTATTTACATATACAGCATCCGGCACTGATAATGCCCCCTTTTTACAACAAAATCATAAGCATGTAATTCTGTAACATAACCATATCACACTCAAGCACACCATATGATATTTTAGGTGAAATGTTCAAATCAAAACTACAAATTATTACATCCATATTATTACCCTACCAACCACATTCAAGCAAGTGTTACTTTTGCCAACCCTGTATATTACATATAAGCTACATATTTATTATGTAATTATGTTTATGGTTCTATAATTGTTCTACAAAGCCCTTCACATATAAAATAAATAGTGAAGATACAGGCAGACCACAATTTCATACCTACACATTGCTTTATGATTGGGTAGAAGCCTAATTTACATCTTTACTTGCTATGAAACCCTGGACAAGTCACTCCCTTGCTGGGTCTTCATCTCTATTTCTAAAATTAGGCAGCATTGCCCACACCTTGGGGTTTTATTAGGGTTACATGTGGAAGCACTGCAGCCCACACACAGCATTTGCTCAGTAAATATGTATTGGGAAAGTAGCTGCCCACCTTCTTAGCACAGAGAGAGGGAGATGTGAAGCACAAAAGAAAAATTAATTGCCCGAAGTCACACAGTGGCCACTTACAGAGACCCAGATTTCCTGAATGGTGCTTTCACTGTGACCCACTCCCCTCAGCAGCCTCCTCCTCCCATGCTTCTTCTCCCTCCAGGAGAGGCTGATGAAGGCTCTTGCCCCAGCATGAATCCCAGGTCCAAGATGTCCTGCCAGGAGCACTCAGGGAAGCCTCCAGTAGCTGGTGGCACCCACCCCAGTAGGATGCCCACCCCAGTGGTACCTGGATCTCCCTGAGATCCAGTTCCCTAGAGGCAGAACCTGAGATGAGGATTCCCATCCAGGGGTTCATAAGAAAATACTTGGAGGAGAGACTGGTAAGAGAAATGAGAAGCAATACAAGGAAGAGGGGAAAGTCACACAGAAGTATGATTGCAGGCAAAGTCCCATCCTCAGCCTGGTCTCCAGAGGAGCTCAGAGGTGCAAATTACACCTCAGAGCTTCTTCAATTTAAGATTGAAGTGCTGATATTCCCTAATCCTGCCACATCGAAAAACTGGCTCCAGTACCACAAGGGCAGCGTTTTGAAGAAAGTGGGCAGGCTCAAGCCCTTAGGAGTGATGTTACACAGGAGCCAGGCATGAGCACAGGAAGACAATGATGGTCTAGTCAGAGACCAACAGCATCCTCAACAACCACCAGCTCCAAGGAGGACTCAAAGCTCCCTGGGCTATCTCAGATCTGAGCCCCTTTGATGTCTCTAACTTCTAAAAACCAAAAAGTCAAAAGCCAGCCTCCGTAGCCCAAGAACATCACACAAAGACCACCCTCCCAGCCACAGGAACTGTTTAATGATGGGGCTCAGCAAAATTTGGCAGGTCAAGCTCTTCTGGTAAATTCCCTCTCAGCAAGGATACTCGTTGCTGCTCAGCTTAAAAATTTAACAGACACTGTGCTAGGCTCAAGGGACACAGATGTAATTAAGAGAGGTGCCCTTCAAGAGTTCACAGTAGTAGGTAATTTACAAATAAAAAGTCTTGCCCTAGCTGGTGTGGCTCAGTGGATTGAGCTCTGGCCTGTGAACAAAAGGGCTCCTGGTTTGATCCCCAGTCAGAGCACATGCCTGGGTTGTGGGCCAGGTCCCCAGTAGGGGGCATGCCAAAGACAACCACACACTGATGTTTCTTTCCCTCTCTTTCTCCCTCCCTTCCTCTCTCTCTAGAAATAAATAAATAAAATCTTTTTTTAAAAACTTGCCTGATTTTAACTGATTCCTAAAGAATACTCTATCTCAAAGACATGTGCTTCTCCCTTCTACTTTACAACATCAGCAACAATACATTTTAAAACCTCACACCATACTGCATTACAGAGATGCTACCTCATAAGAACTCAACAAAAAGCTAAATGAAACCACACGGAAGTAACACTGAAGTTGCTTCTAATAATAATGACAATGTTAGCTAGCACATGTGGGAGACATGTGGCCATCAGGTTCCTGAATATCTGATCACTAACATTGTAATGAATATATATAGTTCTTCTATACTGGATCGTTTAAGAAAATGGTGTTAAGTGCGTGGCGAAGAAAAATGATCTTCATCTAAAACCACAGTTACAGACAGACTCTGCAAGTGTAATCCTGGTGGGACATGAGTGAGCCAGAAAGATGCCTAGAACCATGCAATTCATTTCCATTGTTAACAAGTTTTGAAGTGTTGCCACTGTAATATGGTGGTTAAAACCATGAGTTTTACACTCAGAGAGACTTTAAGTGTGAGTTTAGTCCTGACACTGAATAATTCTGTGGTTAAGCAAGTTCTTAAGAGGCAGTGACTTTTGTACACTAATGTGGTATGTGGCTTTGAGCTGTACTGCTGCATATCTTGACTTTCTCAAGTCTTCAGTTTTAACTAATTCCCTGGGAACATTTGATAATTAGTCTCATTACCGTGAAGTATCATCTCATATAAAGTGTGTTAAAGATATGTACAGTTACATAATGAATTTGAACTAGTAGCCTTAGCAGGTCTTTTAATGACTCTCCAATGAGCAGTTAAAATTTGTGGCACTGTCTGGGCAGTGACAGACACTGAGGCCTCCACCTGGAGGCCCTACGAGAGTTTTCTTATGAACCCCTTGATGGGAATCCTCGTCTCAGGTGCTGCCTCTAGGGAACTGGATCTCAGACAGTAGTTAATGCATACTCAACCTTATGGCAATCAGGAAAGTGCTTTTGGGTCTACCATTAGCGCCTGTGGGCCATAATCCAGGGATAAAATAAAAAGTCTGCAGGGGATTAGGGGGGTCCAGGTACTGCTGGGGTGGGCATCCTACTGGGGTGGGTGCCACCAGCTACTGGAGGCTTCCCTGAGTGTTCCTGGCAGGACGTCTTGGACCTGGGATTCATGCTGGGGCAAGAGCCCTCATCAGACTCTCCTGCAGGGAGAAGAGGCACAGGAGGAGGAGGAAGGAAGGAGGGCACAATGAAAGCACCATTCAGGAAACTTTCCATTTCATGTGATTATTTTGTTTTATGATATCCTTTGAAAACTATATTGTTCACTGTATCCAAATGATTCAAAATCATGGAAAGATAATGTTGACTGCCAGACTGAAGTACTTGCTACAAACTTACTTCTCTCTCTCTCATTATTAGCAAAAAAAAAAAAAAAGGACAAAGAGAAAGAGACTAAGAAACAATGGAATGAAGATTTGAAATTTACTTTTTGCTAAGTTTTATGGAGGAGTTTTTTTCTTTTGTTGGTAAATACACATTTTAAAGCATTTCAGATTCAAGAACAATTCCCATAAATATTTCTTTATTGATTGATGAATGTCAGAGCAATGAAAAACCTGTGTTATGGGAGATAATTCATTCTAAAATCAGCTACAAAGTGAATATAAAATTCTTATCACTGCCTTGATACAGTAATAAATCAAAGTCTCTCTACTAATATTCCCCAGAAATTACCAAATTAAACAATTCAGTATTTTTGAAATGCCTGCTACATATACAAGACATCACATGTGTGCCAATTCTGAATAGTGTTAGATCTAGAAATAGGCACTGGCCGTGATGCATCTATGCTCCACCGAAGGAACTCCAAAGGGATTTGAAGTAGGCATTGGGTGTCTAGCACAAGCATTCGCTGGGCATAAGAAAGAACCATAAACACAAAATCGACTTATATTGCAATTTTTAATAAAAGGGAAAAGAAATATCTATATCTAACTAAAAAAGAAGCCACACATTGTTGAGACCTGTTTTGTGGCCCCAGAAGTCTTCAAGATAACCCCACCCAAAGGATGCAGTTCTTACTTGTTGCCGATAAGCACTTCAGATTGCCGATTATTCACTTGATTATCACTCTTGTGGCGAAACTGAAAATCAAAGTGTTTGTGGAAAAAAACATATTAAATCAGACCTTGTCAGCACAAATAGGAACACTGAAGGTACTTTGAGCTCATCTGTTTGAACAATGTCACCATTGGTCCAAAATCAGCACAGGTCATGGTTACCTTGGACCCAGCTCCACGTGTTCTAAGTCTGAATCACGATCCTTCTCATTAAACCTCACTCTTGGTGTCACCCATGGAATGAGTCTAGCCATGTGCTCTTCCCAATTTCCACACATTTTTAGTTGCTTCTAAGAAGACAATCTGCCTTTCACTCTGCCGCATAGCTCCAGGAAAAAAACATACATTAATTTTGATGTCTTCATTAGAACATCATTCATTCTGTTTTATGGATTTCTTTGAAGCTGACAAAATACTTGTAACAATATGTGTTTTTATTCTCTAGAATTTCTAATTGTTAGTAATGATCTTATCAAGTATTGAGTATTTTAAAAAATCAAAATACAATACTGAACCACATTTGGTGTGGATTTGCATATTTATGCCCAAAGGATCCTATTTCTTATTGTATATCCCAGTAATATAAACATCTTTTATTGCTTAGAGAATCCAAATGTTATTTATGAGCCCTCTACTAAATTGATAAATTAGCAGCCATTCATACAAGACTTTCTACATGAACTATCAATATCAGATAGTATTAGGCTAAAGTTTAAGGTGTTATTTCAACCGATTAGCCTAAATGAACACTAGTAGTATCAAAAAACATGAAACTGACTTCATAGATCATAATCATCAGGATTAGTGTCTTCTCCTTATAAAAATATTCATATATTACATCAATATCACAATACACAGAATGCTTCAATCTGTCCTTCCCTCCTCAATATCCTTCTCAAACCCATCCTAATCTTTCCTTTATGCTGTGCCCAGTGCATACAATTACACTGATCTCCAGGTGTAAGTACTGGGTATTACCAGAAAGAATAAGATATTTGGCATTTGTTAACACAGAAAGAATTGATAATATTGGTAGAAGAGTAAATTAAGTCAGCCCATCATTGGCATACAATCTTCTCCCCACCAATAGAACAATAAAAATGGAAGCAATTATTTTGTCTAAGCACATAAATTGACAGGGGTGCTAGATAATTTCCATTTGTTTCTCCATATCTATACCCATCCTCCTCCACTCTGCCCTGTGCCAGGGGAAGCTGACCTGTGTTGTCCTTTCCCTCTGGCTTCCAGTTGGGTTTGACCAATAGGTGGCACTGGCAGAGATCAGAGTGCCAGAGGAAAGTGAAATTCCCTGGCTTCCTTCAAGCTGAGTTAACAGTGGCTGTTTCCTCTACAGGAAGCCTTAGCTGCTGCATGCAGCCCTCGGCTACAGCTTCAGGTTTGGTAGTGGCTTCCTTCCTTTGCCCCTTCTCGCCAAGAGGCAGTTTTTGCCATCCATGTAAGTATCCCACGTGCTTTTCCTCTTCCATACCCTTCGTAAATGGTTTCCTCATTATTAATCCTAGCCCAGACTTCCCTCATTTAAGGTGACATCTTTTTTCTGCCAAGACCCTGCCTCATAAAGATATCTAGTTGTTGAACCAGCACATATAATCACAGAATAAAAGCCTATTTCAGTATTAACTGTAGTGGAGAAAAAGGAGACTTGGTACTTATTCACATCTGTATCTAACCTGAAAATAGTCCCCGAAATTGACCAGCTGGGCATCACAGAAAAACACCAAAGAGTTCACCCCTGAACTTTGAGTTGCCCACTCTCTGGGCCTTAAGATGGGGCCACTCTCACTTCTGCTCAGGCTTTGCTGAGAGGGGTCTTGGTACGGAAACAGACAGTCTGGAAGGACTAGAAATGGTCATCTCGGGCTGGCTCTTCTTGACAATTTCTACCTCAGAAATAGCTATGAAGGCTCAGAGAGGAACTGGTCAGGAAAGGAAGTGAGCAGACAACAAGCATTAATTTTGTGCCCACTGTGAGGCAGGCTTTGTGTTAAGTGCCTTAACACAGCATCCACAGTGCTGATGCCATTGGCCACATTATTCACGCAAGGAAAGGTTCGGAGAAGTGGTTTGCCTCATGTTACTCTGCTAGAACCTGGTGGGGAAAGGTATCTTTCTCCAGAACTTCTTCCTTCCTCTCTTTCTTTCTACTCTACCACTTCATTCTTCTATGAAGTATGTCTATACGAATAAGAACTTTAAAGCCAAACTGTGGCAATTCTTGCATCTAAATGCATACTATTTCTCAAAGATTAGATAATGTGGGAAAGTCAGACATTTTTTCCAAATATCATTATTCAAATCATTGCTGAACCTAAAACTTGTACTGATCATCAAATAACAGAAGAGTTTTATATCACATTGACCAAAAGAGCTTCATTCAAAAATTTCAATTGAATCTCCATTTTCTATTCTGAGAGGTCACAATTGAAACTGAGATGTCAGGACTCCTCAAAAGCAAATACTCACATAGTCATCTGTGGCATCTTTGACAGCTGTCATAGTTATCACCAGGACCAAAGGCACAATGGTGGTAAACCAGGACAAGGAAGAAATTTCTGGAATCAGCTGAAACAAATATTTTAAATAGTTTATGGCTTTTATATTTAGTAAATATATCTTCTAAACGTTGACATTGAATTTCATAAGACTTGCCAGCAATTAGTGGGATTATATTCATTTACTTGTACAAATGTAGAATGACTTTCCATAATTTAAGTGTTTGCATTCAGCTATAAGACACACAGAATAGGAGTATCGTTGAATCACTTTTCAAACTGCCTGGCAAAAGAATAATAATTTTCTATAGCAAGTTAACAAGTAAGCTTCTTGAAATCATTCACAGATGATGATCTTTGCCCAGGTAATAAACATCACTTGTCTTCTCATCACTTGTCTTCTGGGCCTTAAGATGGGGCCACTCTCACTTCTGCTCAGGCTTTGCTGATCATCTCAACTTTTAATAACTTGACCAACTCCTCATCAATTCCCAAAAAGAGATTCTTCGAGCATCTACCTTGACACTGTACCAAGTACTTTCTGTGTATTATGTCATTTAATCCCGGGAGAAGTTCATTGAGTTAGACTCTGCACCAGCGTTGTTTTATACAAGCCCACGAGGCTCATATTCCATGGAAATAGCACTCGAATGCAAAGTACAGAATACACTATGAATGTTCCCCCAGAGTCAAATGATTCCCCTGGGAATCATTTTCCCATTGTGTAAATAAGTATCTGAGAAGTCAGGCAACTCAGCCAAGAACATACACTGATGAAATTTGAACCTCGATGAAAAAGACTCCAAAGCCTTGTACCCAGTTCCTCCAAAGCCACCCACCTGACAGAGACATCATGACAGTTGAGATGACTCTCTCAGACAGGTGGTCTTCAAGTGAGGTACAATTTGGAGTTGCTTCAGGGCCATCAAGTAGGGAAGGGCTGGGTGGAGATGGTCAGTTTTTGGAGATCAGGCCCCATTAAAACAGCTCTACACTTAATCAATTTTACATGATAGCTTCTGCATAAGATTTAAAAAACAAACAAACCTCAAAAGACTCTGAGGTACCAAGAAAAGCATCGGACAGGGTGGCAGAAAAGCTGAATTCTAGTCCTAGTTTTATCATTAACTTGTGGTAAAAGCTTGATAAATCATCTGATGTCTCTAGGTCTTATTTCTTCATCAACAAAAGAAAGGAAGCTGGACTAAACCATCCCAAAGGTCCCTTCTGGATATAAATTCTGTGAACAAAAGCCTTTGACCAAAAACACAAAAGCCATTAGAGAAATGAGCTCAAAATTCTGTAATGGTATAAATTATGTGAAGAAACCAAAAGGAAATTCACAGAGGGACAAAGAAAGAAATCTAGGATTCTAAAGTCCCTTCAATAAATTATAAGTTGTGGTTTCATCACTTTTTTTTCCTGTTTAGCATCCAGTTTTTCTCGATTAACCCTTATTTTCTTAGGAAACTACCCAAACCCTTCTACTTTCAGTCCGTGTAATTTTGGTGCACTCATACCATCCTGGCTCCAGATTTTGGCATGTGATCTAGGTAAAGACAATCACTGCGTCAGATTCTTGAGCCACAGTGATTGGTTTAGGGATGGAGGTGTAACATGGTATGATTCAGTCAGAGCCAATGTCCCTCCCTCTCCTTCTCTCTGTCTTTCATATTGGAGTTAAAGCTGGGAGGAGAAGAGTTTAGACATTTTGGGGTCCACCAGGTAGAAAAGGCCTGCCAGAAAGTGAAGCCAACAAGAAGGAAAACTGCGGAAAGTAAAGTCACATTCTGTTGAAATAGTTTGCCCACGAATCCAGTCAGACATTAAGTGACAAATACTCATGAATATATTCCCTTTTTGCTTAAAAGTGAGACACACTCATAGACAGAGTGCAGGTAGACAGCTGTTGGTGGGGGAGGGGTAGCTGGGAGCCTGGGTGGAAGGGGTGGAGGGTACTGAGCAAAAAAAAAAAAAGAAAAGAAAGAAAAAAAAGAAAAGAAAAAAAAGAGAGAAACTCCCTGACAAGGGCAACAGCATGATAATTGCAGGTGGCAGGGCAGGGGTGGGGGGACCACAGGAGGAGGTGGTGGAGAGAAGGGGGAATAAATGGTAATGACAAGACTTGACTTGGGGTAGTAAACACACAATGCAGTGTGCAGGTGGTGTGTTGTGGAACTGTGCACCTGAAACCTGTATAATTTTGTTAACTAGTGTCACCCCCAATACGTTTAATAAAAAGGAAAAAAAAGATTTGAGGTTTCTGCCACCCGCAACCAAAAGATTCTTAATACAAATAATTACTCAATTAAAGAAAAATAGCTCTCAAGCTACTAATCTAGATGGCACACATGTAATCTGTCTGCTTACCTCCTATAATTAGTGCAGATTCCAGCACATTCTGAATCTACCAGTTTAGTGTGATTACATTGCCCTAAAATAAATACTAAGTAAATAACTGGCTAATGTGAGTTGTTTATCTGTATGTGTATTCTCTGAGGTATACCTTTGCCTTTCTCAAATATCACTAAAAGCTTAAATTCCATTTAGGCCCAAATTTTAGTCAAATAGGAAAAAAAAAGCAACGTATCTAACTACCAATTAACCACTCAAAACTATTTAAAAAATCACTCTACAGTGAAATAACATACAGCATACATCATTTATTTTTACATATATGTAAAATATATCAGTGTTCTTAGATGCAAATGAAATTCGCCAGATCAGGTTCCACAAAGTACTACTCAGCTGGACTTGTGGGCTTCACTGCCGCGACACCCACACTGCTAACAGGAGAGGGAGACACAGAAAGGAGGGAGGCCACCAGCAGTAATTATTAACCTCTGGTTTGGTTCAGATGAAGTGCAAGACTGCATTTTGAAATTACCTCAGTGCTGAAAATGATGAGTGTCCTGGTTTTTACCCATTCCTAGCCCTCCCACATTTGTGAAGAGAAATAGCAATAATAACGTAAAAAAATCTGATAAGGAGGGTCTTACTAATTGTGAACATTCAGCTAAGTGAATTAACTTACTTTTTCAAATTATGTGAATACTTTTAATAAACAGATCATGGAGAAATATGACATCAACATTACCTGTAAAATCAGAAGAGAAAGGAAATAGGCATTTGCCACTCTTTGGAACTGTTCAAATAAATTAATTGGCAAGAAGGTGAGAATGTTGTACTTGGATGTATGGATACGATTATCCTGGAAAAAAAAGAGCATCACATTATTTTGGGGCAAGGCATTGTTCATTATCAGAAATAGCCCTAAAATTTACAAGGCTGAGCATGCATTGTACCACAGCAAGAAATATAAGCCAGTTATTTAGGAAATTTTAAGCTCTATGTGGCCCAAGGCCTTCACTTTTCCCAAGATGACATGCTTCTAAAACTAGGTGAAATTACTGTTCAATGCCATAAAATCACCTATGACTAAAAAATGTATCAGGTGCTAAAGTCTGCCCCTGAGTTTTTTACACTTATGCATTCATTCATTTGGCAGATAATGCTTGAGCACCCACTGTATGCAGACACTGAGCTCATGCTGAGGCCCATGAGGTTAGTAGGAACTTCGAGATCATTTGATCCACTTTGCTAAAACATGGCCCTTTTGAGAACTCTGACGAGGGGCCCATGGACCTTCCTTTGAAAGTCTTCTGTGATGAGAAACTAACCACCTTGCAAGGCAGCCTGTCTCCATTTCAGAATGGAGATTGCTAGAAAGTTTTTTATGATGAGAAACCCAAATCTGCCTCCTTGTAACTTCTTGACATGTGCCAAATTCCATCACTGGGGTAACCTAATCCAAATCTAAATCCTTTGTGTGTTGACAAACTTCAACATTTCAAAAATCACTTCTAGAGCTTCCCTCAATCTTCTCCACTCTGATCCAGACATTCCCAAATCCCTAAGCCATTCTCTATGACTTATTTTGTAGACATCTCTGCCTGATCAGCTTCCTCTAGATATATTCCAATTTCTCTGCATCTCTTTTAAGACATGGTGCCCAGAACAAGCACATATTAACAATTCAGTTCAACTAATCCTTGTACAACAGAGACTTTGATGTCCTGTGCTCCGGTCTATTGTATTAACGTGACTTAAATTTCATTAGCATTTTGGCAGTCGTATCCCACCGTTTATTCATACTGAGTTTTGATGAACTAAAATCTCTGGAGTATTTCTTTATAAATTACAGTTGAATCAGATCTCCCCTTCCTAAGAATATGGAATTGATTTTTTTAAATACTGATGTACAAGACCTTTCATACATTCCTATTATACTGGCCTAATTAAAATATTTTCCCTTAAGTGAACTATCCCCAACTATTCAATATTCTTCCCAGCTCTGTGTCATCAAAGAGTTTCAAACACATGCCTTCTATTATTCTTCTGGGTGTCCAACCTGTAGCCCACGGGCCACATGTGGCCCAGGATGGCTGTAAATGCAACCCAACACAAAATCATAAATTTACTTAAAACATTATGACATCTTTTTGTGATTATGTGTCACAATGTATTGAATGTGTAGCCCAACACAACTCTTCTTCATCCAGTGTGGCCCAGAAACAACAAAAGTTTGGACACCCTGTAAAAGCTATAGACTGTTCATTTGAAAGGACAGGACTATAAGTGTCCTTTAGTGGATGATTAGATAGAGAAAATGCATTGCATATACACAGTGTAATACTACTCAACCACTAGAAAATATGAAATACTGCCATTTTCAACAACATGGATGGATCTTGAGAATATCATGCTAAATGAAATGTCAGACAGAAAAGAACAAGAACCATATGATTTCACTCATATGAGGGATATAAAACAAACAACAAAACAAACTCATAGACACAGACAACAGAAGGGTGGTTACCAGAGGAAAAGGGAGGTGCAGGAAGGTTGAGGAGGGTAAAGGGGGTCAAACATATGGTAACAGAAGGAGACTAGACTTTGAATGGTGAGCACACAGGGCAATATACAGATGATAGATAATAGAATTGTGCACCTGAGACTTATGCAATGTTATTAATCAGTGTCACCCTAATAAATTCAATTTTTTAAAATGGACAGGGCTAAATACCCCTAAAATTTTTAATTAAAGAAACAAAGCTTTGACAAACTACTACAGACCTCTGCACAGATTATTGTTAACATCTTTTTCAGGTGTTTATGTAGAACATACTAAGTATGTTTTATTTAACCATTCATAAATCCACCTAAATATACTCCCATGAGGCTGAAATCTATCTTACCTACAAAGATAGTGTGAGAAATCTGGAGTCTTATCAAAGTTCAGAATCTGCATGCCCAAAGAGTTTCCACCCACTGACATTTTAAAAGAGCAGTTAGTTGGTGTGCCTTGTTTTAAGTGTGCCTACACTGACTGCTACTAAATCACTGATACTCTTTAAAGAAAAAGAGTCATCTGTTAAATGGTCATTTTTAACATTTACTAGGAACCAATCTGTCTGGCTCTGTGCAATAAGTTGTGGGCAAGTAAGAAGTATCGAGAGAAGAATTTCCAGCTTAGCTGGCCTGATACATAGTGATGTGCTAAAAACTGGTCTGTGAGTTAATGATGGCTATTTTGCAATGAATTATCTGTTCAAGAGCTGGCTTAGGAAGGAAAGCTGTGAGAACTGTCATGACACATTTTTATAAAGGAGAGACTGGGAGAAAATAATAGGGGAGAGGAAAGCTAAAGAGAAAAAGCAGTTAACAAAAAGAATCACATATTCCTATTTAGGTTTTATATTTTTCCTCTAAGTTGAAACTAAAATAGAGGTTAAGCCTGTATCATGCTGAAAGAACAGACTGAACATCAACTGTGACATTCAAAACCATGGTAGGAATTATTAAAAAGCTCTCCTACAAAATTGGATTCCACATAGGTGGAGTGTGGAACACTACAGCTAATTGTGTGGTACAAAGTGATCATGCCAAATGGGGACTAGGACAATTTTCTCCTATTTGCTTAAACTAGAGCAATGATTGTGTTTGTTCTGCTGGATCTGTTGTGACTTAGTCACAGATGATGCAAATCCTCATGGCTGTGACTAAGACCAAGGAATGAGGGCTCCCCCTCCTGGAGATTCTCTGAACCCATTTACCTTTGTTTTTCAATCGAAAGGAAAAAAAATGTTTTCATTTCCACTGCCCTGTCCAAGAATATGAGTATTGTTAAGACCTTAAATCAGGCAAATTAATATTCAGCCACCTCACAGAGCCAGTCTACAGCCAAATTTTAGTATAGTTCATTCCACAATACAGCAGGAGATATCTTCTCCACGGCCCCTTAGCTTTTACACCATGGACCACTAGAAGCATCCCAAGCCAGAAGACAAGATGAGGAGGACAAGCATGAAGAGGAGGAGGATGAGACAAAGTAGAAAAGAATACATCTGGAGAATCCACATAGCATCTTTAGCACTAATAGAAGCCAAGCTGGAAGTCATGGGTTTAGTTTGTTAGGTAGGTGAGCTCATTAATGACCCCCTGATGAGGCAGGCTTAACCGCACAGGCAGAGGCAATCCCAATCCAGGGCAGGCCTCCCACGTAGTGGGAAAGAGCCTACACCTCAAGGACCATCAGAGACGACCTCCTCCCTGTAGGAAGCTCACTTCCAAGAGGAGAGGGCAGAGCTAAGTAAGCTGAGGAAGCCCAGATATTCCTCTGAAATTGGCACACGACTCCACCTCCCATGGGGCAGAGTAAGTAAAGAGGTGGAGAGAGAAGAATACCCGCATAGAGACCCCTCCACCTGAAAAACAATATCAAGATAAGGAAAAAACATTGCTTGTCTAAAATATGTCAGTATGAAGGCCATGAGGTGGGCAGAAGATGGCACACTTGGGCATCTCAAAGAGAAACTATGAGGCTTTATTACAGACATTGGCACTGAGGCTAGGGAGTGAAGTTCCTTGGAAGCTATAATTTATTATAAGTGAGGAAGGAATGACTGAAAGGTTTTAAACAAAGAAATAACTTGATGGATTCTAATTTTAAGACATTACCCAAGCTACGAGGTGGAGAACAAACTAGAAAAGACACAAGAATAGATGTGAGAGGACCAATGAGGAGGCCTTTGAATTAGTCAAAATGAGAGATGATAGGTGTCTTGGACCAGGGTGGTAGCAACAAGTGATAATAATAATAATTATTATTACTATTAAAATCTTGATATTTATCAAGATTTTACTATGTGTACTGTTCTAAGAGCTTTGCATTTCACAACTCATTTTATCCTCACACTATCCTCATGAAATAGGTACTACTATCCCTACTATATTTAAGGGGAGTCCAAGGTTCAGAGAGATCAAGTCATTTGTGCAAGTTTACACAGCTTATTAGTGGTCAAATCAGGATTGTGAACTCAAGTGCTCTGCGTGCAGAGCCTGCCCTCTTAACCACTAATGCTCCCCTGATTCAGTGCAAAGCAGATATCTGTTCTGCTTTCAGAGCAGTCAGCCCTTGCTCTCTTCCCTACTCTGTATTTCTAGTTTGCTGCCACTTTCTTACCAAGGGAAATGCTGTATATTACCTTTCCCTCTTTAGTCAACTGCTCAGTAAGAGTCTCAGTTATCTAGTGCCTAATGTACGATTACAGCTTCCTTGTATTCCCTCTCATCCCACCTCAAGAGTGTTTTTCTTGGCCGCTGACACAGCTCAAGGCAGGCACAGTATAGCTAGCCACTTCCTTGATTAATCTGACCAATAGAGGCTACAGCAGCCAGAGTCCTTGGTACTTTCAACATCGATGACTTGGTGTGGGGAAAGAATAAAGTAAAAGGTGATAGGTTCTTCAGAGGTGGGCTATCACATGAAATATTAATAAAATGAGAAGTATGATTCTTTATAATGAGATTTGAATGTGTAATTGTACTGCTTAAGAAAACAAAGCAAAAGGAAAATAAACACTGCAAACAGCATTTGGGGAGTTCACCTCAATTCTTTCACTGGCAGAATAAGGCTAACATTTCTCATCTATATATAGGACTATTGCAGAGATGAAAAGATGTGAAAGTATTTTTGCTAAGTTGAAAAATTATACAAATATAGGATTTGGGGGAGCAGCCCCTAAATAATTCAAATGAATTTAGGAAATCCAATGTACTAGGCAGGATAAACCGGGTATGCCACAGTAACGAACAACTCCAGAATCCTCATAGCTTAACACAGTAAGAGTTTGCTTCTTGCTTGTGATA